CAAGTACGGTACATAAACAAAACTTCTGCTACAAAAATGGAAATTGCTGGCGAAACTCAGCCGGTCCGAGTTCTGCTGTTGGGTTGCTCTGGAGAAACCCTGCAACAAAGCACTTGAGAAGATCTGTGGTGATCCACTGCAAAATCTTGTCATCATGCAGACTCAGCCCTTGCCACTGGTTAAATGTTGACAGCTGAGGGAATGGAGGAGGAAGGGAACATGGATCATATACATTCTGGTAGGGTTGACACACCAAGCATTTCTCAGGATTTATCAATACTCACAAAATGTGCAGCTGCAACTTTGTACAGTCAATTTGTCTCTCAATATCTCTGGTTAAAAACAACACTAGATTACTTCAGGTTGACTGACGACACAAGATTGTATTTTTATTCAGGAGACTAGATTTATCATTAGGTTAAGGGAATATACTGTGTGATATCCCACAAAAATTTAACACTAGTCCTAAAGCTCTTCACTGAGGCACTAATCTTATTCACATCAGTGAGAGAAAGTAGTGTACAAGAGAAATTTGATACAACAATATAAGATATTGCGACCAACCTCATGCATTATTGCACCCACATAAATTTACAATGTGGAGGGCAGACCTTTTTCAATTTCAATTAGAGTTTTGTCGACGGAGATTTATGGCGTTCAGTCCACCACAGCATGGAATGAGTTTTCTTATACAACTTTCTGCTTTTCAGATGCAGCACGCCAGGAACAATCCCTACCACTGTAGTATTAGAGCCTCTCCATCAAGGCCTCTCCCACATTAATCCAAACTGTATATGTTGAATTGCCTGTCTTCACAATTATTGTCCCCTCGGCATCGCAGCATTCTGCCTCCAATCCCAACAACTGCCGGCTTCCGTAACACAGGGGAGGCTCCTGCTAACACCCTTTGGCTTTCAGTGAACAGACCACAAGGACTCATCCTAACCCATTTCTGTGTTGATACGGAATCTCCTGACCCTGATCGTGCTTTGGCTGACTGTGTCCAACCCCCTGGGCCAGAGTTGGATGCTACCCTTTACTGCTGTGGAAGTCCTGACTGATGATGTTCCTCCTGGCCTTGGCTAAGGCCTCGTCCCCATAGACTTGGAAACGTGGCCACTTCTTTTTTCTTCAGGGCGTAGGAGACTGAGGAGGATCTTATTGTATGAGATCATGAGAGGCATGGATAGAGTGAATGCACTCAGTCTTTTTCCTAGGGTTGTGGAAGAGGACTAGAGGGTATCAGTTTAAGCTAAGAGGAGAAAGAATACATGGGAACCTGAGGGGCAACTTTTTTACACAAAGGGTGGAACACATAAGAAATGAGCTGCCAGCGGAAGTGGTTGAGGTGGGTACATTAACAACATTTAAAAGGCTTTTGGACAAATACATGGATAGGAAAGGTTCAGAAGGATATGGGCCAAGTGCAGGGAAGTGGAGTTAGTGTGGTTGGACATTTCGGTTGACACGGACCAGTTTGGGCCGAAGGGCCTGTCTCCGTGCTGTAGGACTCTATGACTCTATGGCTGAAGCACATGCTGTGTGTTTGCTACATAAGCTGCTGGCACATGGCATAGCTGTGACATTGATGTAACACAGTGACATACAGGGACATGTCCACCCCCTTTGACAGATCATCGATGGTAACCTGCTGCCTGGTTATGTGCCTGTGCCGAATGGAAAGACAGAAGTGCCGTGAGCTTTTACATTCCAGATGAGGCAGCAACAGTACAAAATGGCAAAGCAAAGATGTCATGAGCATGCAAGTCAGTGTAAAGTCAGTGAGTGCTAAGACAGCGAGCAAAGAGTCCATAAAACGCAGCCAGCTCCAATCCATAAGATAGGTGCCTGACCCACACAAAAGGTGGCATAGCAGCAGCATTGCAATATACAGTGCTGGTGCCCTCAAAAGCACAGCAGTGGAGGGCTGCATTATAAATTAATCCAGAATGTGACATGATGATATGGTGAAGCTGGTGCATGCCCAGTGCCAACCTCCATGGTTGGAGGATGCAGGGAACGTAACCCACAATTTTGGGGAATGCTGCCCAAGATGGAAGCCCAGAGGAGCAAGTGGTGAGCTAGGCACCTGCTCTGACTTCATGTCAGCAATTGTCACTGTCTGGTTTCTCTCCACTGTGTGGGAGAATAGGAAACTGCACACAAATGTGGTGAGATCAGGTACTAATGCTATGTGAGTGCATGCAAAAAGGCCTTTCACTGCTCACGAGTGAGATTCTCACCACGTCAGTCAAACCTGAGATGGAAAATTGGATTTTATTTTCTCAACGTCAAGAGCCTCATTTTTGCAATCTTGCATATTTTCCCAACATGATCAAGGACAGGGAAAATCCAGCCCATGGTTGCTTAGTACACAGGCCTTGGCTATCTTAAATAATAGGAACATGATCAAAGACATTGGTTAACATGAGTAACAATGTCCTCATGTCTGTGGTTAAATACATTCTTAGCAAGAGTCAAAGAAACCATTAACTTCAAAGTTAAGTTCGAAAGCCTGAATAAGCAATACTGAGTGGTATTGGAAGTTGCAAGAACGTTAACCTGAATAATGGATGTAAAATTATCTACCAACAGAAAGGTGATAGATCGCAACATTCCCCTGGTTTTGAGCAATTTTATTGAGCTACTGTTAATAAACTTATTTGGAACACCTCTGTCTCATGTACTGGTTGATCAGTTATTGATAGATTAGTGTGCTACTGTAAATCAAAATTTGTTAATATAAAATTAGTCATTTTTGTATATCACGCATGTTTATTTAACATAAACAATATACTACTATTTCTGCAATAAAAGCAACTTTGACAAGGAACACACTGGAACCATTTAGCCAAGTGGAGGATATTTTTTTGAAAAAAATATGCATTGACGGTTGCAGTCCCATTTTGTTAAGATAATGTTCAAATTAAATCAGAGATCTTTCACCCAAATGGAAATTATGATCTAAGAGTGTTTATTATCCAGTTTCCAAAAAATGAACTTTTGTCCCTAACAAACAACTAAAATTTATTGAATGGCAGTTTTGTATGCTGCAAGTTCAGCGTCTATTTATTCATTTGCTGCAACCACTGGAACGATTATGGGAGCAGACAACTCAGTCGACATTAATATTCCTACTATATTTGACTTTTAAGATAACAGTCATGTAATAATCAGTCTTATTCCGGTCATAAATGCTTTTTGCATAATATTTCTGGTGCTATCTGCATTCATTTGCAGCATCATAAAAGTAAGCCCTCCAAATGTTTATTGTTTCCCAATGCACCAGCAGCAAGTATAATTACTGAGTTTCACATCTCAAGTATCACACACTGTGCTTGCTTCTAACTTCTGATGACTATTATCTCCAGCAAGGCAGCCCTTTATAGGAATTAAGTGAAATCATTATGAGACTGTGAGGTTATCACATATCTTAAACATTGGGTATTACATTGAATATGGAGCACTGAAACTTGTCATTTAGCCAAGATTTATGCCAGTGTTTAATGTTAAACCTAAGCCTCTTACCAATCTATTTACTCCATCACACCCAATCAACATGCCCTTAAATTCATTTCTGTCCCAAGTACTAAGCTAACATCCCTCCCTGAAGTAACCCAAAAGTATATCCAGCCAATAAAGGATATATAGCCTGCAACTAATGCTTCTCAGCTGATTTTGCATTGCAAAAAGATCCACACTTGGCTGCCAAATCTTAAGTGTGATCATTGTGCAAACAGCTGCAAACTGAATGCAAAACTGGCAAGATTCACAAGAGTGGCAGGTGCTTACAGCTGCCATTCAATGGGTCGCATCAGATTTACATATTGATTGCAGTCATCGTGGGCACAATGATATGAGTGTGAGTCACGTGCAATGTAAAAACTACAACAACAGATGTCATGAACCATCAATCTTTGTTGAAGCTAGTTATATTTACATGCAATTCAAGTACTCAAAACCAACCTGAGTAACATTTTACATTATTTTGCAAATTCCCTGTCATGAGGAAGAATAATCTATTTTCTTCATGGGAATATAAAGGGTCTTGTTATGCTATATCAACAAAATTAGCAGCATATTTGAGGATTGCATATAACAGATACAAAGGTTTTTTTCCTCTGGCTATCATTACATTAAACAGCTACTGCTCACAACCATGTTAATTCTCCTCTTTGTGTTCAACAAACTTTCCCAATTGGATGAAGTCACAAAGTTTGAAATTGTACTTCAAATCCTCAACTGTAAATTGTTAATGAAATTTGTGAACAGTAGTTCAAGCACGGATTCTTGTCAACACCATTTCCCACCAGTCTGAATAGTTACCCTTAACCTTTATTCTGTTTCCTGTTTTGTACCCAGTTTCCAACCAATTCTGCTATTTGGCTCTGGCCTCCACTGTTTTGATCTTAGTCATGAGTACATGATGCAGGACCTCACTGAAGGTCACTTGAAGATTTAAATCTACTACAACAAGCGTATTATCCTTGTCTACATTTTTCTGTTCCTGTGTATTGCAGTATGGATAGAAAAAGTGTTATCAAACTTTTTAAAATACAGTTTATCTAACATTTGTGTCTACATCAAAAGCTTCCAATTTTCCATTGCAGCTGCTCTTACTGAGAAGAGAAAATCAGAATTACTTCTGAAGCAAAATATAAAATATGCTACCTGTTGTCACAGTATGAAATATGACATTTTAAATTTCAAAGTCGTAATTCTTGTAACATGAAAACTAAAAGAGTAATATTGGGGAACAGTTGGTTCAAATAACTCTTGAAAAGGAAGAGGAATTGGTTCAGAATTTACTCGACAGAAAAAAAAATTTTCTAAAAGCAAAACTAAAATAAATTTTGTCAAGTATTGGCAATTTTACTTTTAACAGTAAGTATCAAGAACCGATGGATATAACCAACAATTACATTTCAAAATAAAAGAGCTGTGAAAATTTTGCCAACTAAGAATTTTTGATGACTAAGAATGAATATTAAATAACTTACCCTAATGGAGCTTCTGGCCGAACTGACTAAGTTTCAATGATTTCACTGTAAAACAGAAATAGAAAAATGGAAGTGATGTGGTTAATAAAAACATACATACTTTGACAGGTTTCACTTTCATATGATACACAGCATACACAAAATGTCCTTAAAATATACCCACCAACTGTTGCAATGCACCAAACAATTGACGATTGAAGTGCAATAATACTTAATCAAAAGTAAATCATCTGCAACGCACAATTTTTTTTGCTCATGCGTTATTCAAGCGTTCAAAGTAATGCTGACATTATGTGGCACCATTGCTAGCACTGGACTTCATGAAACCCAATGAAGTCTCAGAGACAGGATTATGTCACAGCCAATCGTTGGCCTGGAATTTGGGACCAACCACTGGGAGTTGCTCTTATGTCAAAATCTTCAATAATGCAACGAATTTCAGTGTAAAAGCTTCAAACATGAAGTATTGCTTTATCAGGTATTCGGTTAAATCTCAGAGATAGCAAGAACTACAGATGTTGGAGTCAGAGATAACACAGTGTGGAGCTGGAGGAACACAGCAGGCCAGGCAGCATCAGAGGAGC